ATAAGTGTTGATTAAAGACCACATTTTACTGCACTTCAAAAGGAAAAGCATGTGCGTGGGGGGGGGGGGGGGGTGTAGTACACAACCTAATTCTGAAAGGCACTGAGGTTGTTTGGGGTGGAAGTATTTTAGGGTATGGAAGAAAGCTCTGCAAAAAATTGCCAGAATTAGTTGAGAGTAATTACAGAATGCAGGTGCGATGTTTCAGGCTATGAGTCAAAAAGCCTGGAGATTGGATGTTGAGTAATGGACTGTCTGTGCAACAAGTTTAAAAAAAGATGTTTAAAAATCTGTCAAAGATAGACAAAGGATGAGGAATGTGTACTACACGAGAAACAGGAAGTGTCGGGGGAGCTGGTTTACTGTTATGGTGTCTTCAAAAGAAGAAAATCTGCAGAGATGATGTATGGGGTTAAAAATCATGAATTATTTCATGGGTTGGTAGCAGAATATTGGCATTTGTTTGGAAAGTTACCTTGGCAGTCGATATTGCTGAATGGACAGTAGAAAAGCTTCAGTGAAGCACCAGCTGGGTCTGCTTCCTGGATTTATGCCATTTCCATTCGACCATGCAAAGCTTAGCCCCATATTAAAGCATGCGATTGTAGTGGGTTGAAATGGGGTGCAGATGACAGGATACAAGGTTATCGTATTTTGTGATTAGGCATTCTAAGTTTTCCCTATGGGCTAGGGCACAGTGGTTTGGAGTATTGCTTTGGAAGCATTCACAGACAGGCGCTGTGTCCGGAATTGGAACGCTGTCGTGGTGAACAACAGTGCGTGTTGCGTGGCCTCATTGTTATCTGCTGGTATGTAGCCTCCTAATCAGTCCGTGATGTTTACAGTACTTGGGCCCTGTTTGACTTGGTACTGCCTATCCCAATAGGCTATACGGTGATCTTCTTCGGTCATTCCCCATCATACCTGTCAAGTTTTGGATTTGAAAATAAGGGAAATTCTCCGGCACCCACCGCGAGCCACCCCACCCCCCCAACCAAGCTCCAGTGTCCCTTACATTTTAAGACAGGTGTACAAGAAATCTAAAATAACCACTTGTCATTTACATTTTCTTTTAATTTCTCATGTTCACTCATGTGGCTCTCTGGCATTCACTAATGACTTATTATACAGATTTGTTGCAGACTTTGTATCCTTGTTGAAGTCGTCACAGAAGGTGAAAGTAACGTTGTTTTCCGCACACAGCATTGCCATTTTAACCTCCGCATTTATGACCTGGTTAATGTTGTAAATGACCTGCACACTACTGCAGGTGGCAGTTCTCGAGAGGCTACTGACAGTTCAGTTTGGAGAGGCAGAGGAATTTTGTTTTTAAATGATATTATAATACGGGAGATTTACGGGAAAATACTAATACGGGAGGACGGCGGGAAAGAGGAGCAAAATACGGTAGTTTCCCGGCCAAAATGGGAGACTTGACATCTATGTTCCCCATACTGTATGAGCGGAAGAATTCCTTCTCCCGGACTGTGGTATGTGGCTACCTTAACTCCTTTCTTTTTTGTAGCTTAACTTTTACAGTATTTATGTATCTTTTTGCACCTTATATTTTCCACAGGTTGTAAGCTGCCTGTTACTGATTGGCTCTCCTTCTGGGGCACCGGTTGATGCTGTGCTGCTGTTTCGCTATGAGCACTCTGACGTTTTGCACATCGTCACTTCCGTGCTTACTGGCTCGTTTGGCTCCGTTGTGCGGCCAGGTCATCGGAGCGGAACTAATTTAGTGTGTTTTATGCTTTTGTGCTTTTCGTTTGAATCATTGAATCATGTTTTTGTAAAGCACACCGGTGACTAGTCTGCCGCAGTGCATGTACATGTAACTTTGCCTTAACGGTTGCTGTGCTTATTACTTGAGTGCCTTATGGTGTGTGTGTGCGTGTGTGTGTGTGTAGTGAGGTATTGCTGTGCTTGGTGTGACTACAATATTACCTATGTGCATTTGTTATCTGTACCTGCCCGGCCCGAGTTACTGGTCAACTGGTGTGTTTGCGTAGTCTAGTGGACTCATTCTTGGTTTCCAGTCTTTTTCATCCCTGTTGGTGCAGTGTGGAAAATAATACATTTATTAGTTTTGTGAAATCCTGTCTCTGCTTCATCATGGCAATGAATCTGTGAGCCTCACCTGTGCAAATATAGAATGTGTGTAGATAATTCCTAGGCGGTAGCCATCCCCCTAGGTGGCGTAGTCAACAGATTCCAATCTTTACCCTTGTGCCACTATACTATGAAGATAATGCATGAAAGTTATGGCAGCCTTGAAGTCAAAACAAAGTGAATTGATGGAGGCTGATAATACAGACGCAGTAATCAAGCCAAGTCAATTCATATAAAAAGCACATTTACAAACACGAAGCGTTCACGCAAATCCTGTACAATACAAAAGTGCGCATACAAGAGCACAGATTAACACTGAAATTGATATTAACAAGCTGATCACATTTTAACCATCAATTGCTTCAAATGCTAAGGAGTAAAACTATATTTAATCTTGATTTAAAAGTCATCATCGGCGATCACTGGGAGTCGAAGATGATGGTCCACCTGGGGAGTCCTTATTGTGGATCTTCAGATGGCTGGAGAGGCCAATTCTCGAACCGTAACCCTTGTCACCATGTGGACATGGATATAGTGCTGTTCCCTGTAAAGCACCTCATACATACCTCTGGGACCTGGGCTCAAGTCTCCTCAAGGTTTTCTATGTTTGTGCAATTTGCATGTCTACACCGTGTGGTTGTGAGTTTCCTCTAGCTACTCTGTTTTCCCCCACACAGTCCAAAAACTTACTAAGGCTAATTGGAGTTACCAAATTTCCTGTATCTGAATGGTGCGTGAGTGTGCCCTGTGATGGGTTGGTGTCCCATTCTGGGTTGTTCCCTGCCTTGCATCCATTGGCTCCAGGCCCCCTTGATCATGAATAAGATAAGTTGTTTCTGAAAATGTATGGCTTGTTCAAATCACATGACTGGTAGAGTGATGTCATCAAATCCCTGTTAAGCTAGCCCCTTAATTCCAAAGACTGACTGACCCTAGTATCTCAGTTGCATGTCACTTTGAATAACTGAGCTTTGAATAGAATGACTATGAATAAGTTTAATTCTGTTTTATTATTGTTTTTCTTTTGATGGTGTGGTTTTATGTGTAATAAGCAATCGATTTACATATTGTCATACTAGCTACAATAGGCGACAGGTGTGTGGCTAGGAAAGCGAGTGTAACATTTTTACGCGCTTCGCATAGTGTAATGTGTAGAGATTTGCTTCTGTACACTGGAGCAATTTGACTTATTCTAGTTTACAAAACAAATAACAGAAAAAGATGCCCTGTGTCTGTGCAAGTCCCTGCAAGCAAAGCCCCATAACTTTGGCAAGCAACTGGATGACTGAAAATGAGGCTCCTGTTTTTTATGGACAACAGTCAAATCTACGGTGCTTTCCAGTCCCACCAATTACAACAAATCCTCTTTTAAAACAACAGGGTTGCCAACTTCGGTCTGCTGGCTGAAGTGAGATTTTCAATTCGAGACAAGTCTGCACACACATTTACATATATATAACAGCTTTATTACCTTGTAAATAGTCTATAGGGCTTGCAAACTACCCCAGCGCTTATAATTTAAATTTGTCGTAAGATCTCTTGCATGAGCGTGAGAGTCTGAAAGTATGTCATGCTGGATGCGTGAGAGCTGGCAAACTGAAACGAAGTTCCAAAACTCTGTGAAACATTTGCAAGAAATCAACCAGCCTGTCTCCTATATTGGGTGCATAAATATTTACAGAATAAAATATGCCTTCAATGTCAACTTTAACTAATAAAAGACGACCATATACAGCAGCGGTCAGCAACCCTGTTCCTGCAGATCAGAGCTATGGTGCAGCCCTAATTTAACACCCGATTTCGATAATCAGGACCTTCAGTAGCATCTCAGTCTTTGAGCCAAAGATTAGCTTCAAAGTCGCTGGCTCCAGTACTTATCTGTATAAATTAGGGCTGCACCTAAGCTCTGTAGGAACAGGGTTGATCTGCAGGAACAGGGTTGCTGACCATTCGCTCTCGTTGTCAGTGAAAATTGAACAGCGTCCCCTGCACTTAATCTAGTTCCATGACTAAGGACATGCCAGCCATTCTCCACAGTCCCCAGCCAGCTTCATTATCGCTGAAGAAACGTGACATGCAGCATGTTTGCCTGTCTCTGCTGCCATTTGTGTCAAGTGATGTCATCCTTGGGGTCCCCTAGGGAGCAAACAGAAGGTAGAGCCAGAACAGTGTTAAGATGGACACAACATAGTTTATGAAACATCAGTGACAAAAAGATTTCCGGACTTTTTTCCAAAACCTTTTTTCTCTACTTATTGCACTTTCTAATTAATGTTAAGACATTTTTCTCACTTAACTGCTGAACTCCTACCATCTTTTGGAAATAAGAATCAGATTAGCTCTGTTCAACCCATTAAAAAGCCAGCTAAGCGATGTGTGCGCGTTAACAGTGTCAGTGTTGGTATTACAGTGTGGCAGCACCAATGCCGCTTCCATGTTCCCAAATCCATCTGGTTCCTGCACTTTATCAACTGCAGCGACCAGGGGTGGGTCCACCTCAGGCTCCCGACTGACATGCCAGCGCAGCCCCAGCCGCTCCCGCTTCCCTGCAGTTTCCCGCCTCCTGCTCCCTGTCCGAACAGGTGGATCGTTCCTGCCCCACATGCCCACATTTGGAGCAGGGCAGGCCGCCTGTACCCACATACGCCAAATACATACTCCCGTCAACTTTCACTCGGAGAGAAACAGCAAGCGTGCAGTTTGGCAAGTTTAAAAACATGCTAAATGGTTTCGCCCGCGCGTTTTAAGGACGGATGGCAGGTTTAAAAGAACCGCCTTTCCAAGCCAGAGTCAGCAATTAACGATGGCATGTCAGAAAAAGCAGCTTTACCGGATGGGCATGGAGTGTGGTGACTTGCACAGACTTGTCGCTGAAAACGAGTCCATTGATCATCCTAAACCACTCCTACCACTATATTTATACTGCAAGCGGGCAAAATCATGCCAAACGTACTTTCCGAGTATAAGAAGACACACATCATAATAGAATCTGGAAAATGGCTGCTAAAACTTCATCTATGGACGAGGAGCTCTCTTGTTGCATTTGCTCTGATTTCTTCAGGGATCCTGTCGTCCTGAAGTGTGCCCACAGCTTCTGTGGAGCCTGTCTGCAGAGGTTCTGGGCACAGAACAGCTCTCGGGAGTGTCCACTGTGCCGGAGGAAATCCTCTGTGGGCGATCCCCCTCTCAACATCGTCTTAAGAAACGTTGTGGAACTGTATTCAAAGCAAAGGAGTGAAAGAGAGGTGGTAGAGAAGAGTGCATCTCGCTGCAGTCTCCATGGAGAGAAAATTCTGCTCTTCTGTATAGAAGACCAGGAGCCCATCTGTGTGGTGTGTCTCACTGCAAAGAAACGGAGAAACCACCAACTCTGTCCAGTGGAAGAAGCTGTGCAGGATAAGAAGGTATTCTCTTCTATATCATTCAGCCACTGACACTTGCACACAGCTAAATGTAATGGCCATCAATATAATATGATAAAAGCATATCTAGAGCAGAAGAAATTCACACTCGACTAAACGAAAACCCAAACGTAATACAAAGTTGTTTTAGTTTCTGTCATGGTTTTAGAATAGGGATCATGACTTACAGTACTGTCAGTTTTCTAAACTGTGGGAGTTTGTAGATATCCAAAAAACAGGTCTGCTTATTTTCTATATGTTTCTGCTTGCAGATTGGGTGGGGTTCTGGCGGGAAAGACTTCACGAGTTTATCCATTTCCGTGTGATGCCTGTCCCAGCATGCTTTGTGGCATACATGATATCAGATTCTCTTTGGTTCATTAGTTCATTGCATTCGTTTTTAGTTGAATCCAAAGGTTATTCTTCAGTGACAATTTGTGGTTTATTATTATGTTGTTCTTTGTATGGTTCTGTATGTTTTGTGCTGTGATTTGGTCGTCCACTGTCATGTCGTGTTTGATCATACCATGGTCTCTAATGTTTGATAGGTTTTTTTTTCCCGATTACAGTATCTTTATATGAATCCTCAGTTACATAATTAATAGGTTATATGGTACTTTTACACATGTAAAGATGCTTGATATGATTGGTAGTTTGTATGACATCACTAGTAGATAAACTTCTGCCAATGTCATGGAATATGTCTTGTCTTCACATTCCTTTTGCACTTTTATTATACAGTATATAGCATATTGTCTAGTCAGAAGTAAATGTGTAAATGTAGTATGTGAGGTATACTGGGAGCAATGCAGATTAGGCTTCTATGCCTGTGTTTGCAAGTTCGCCAGTTCAAATCCTGTCCTCAGCAAAATAGTCAAATCTGCACTGGGCTCTTAAGGTTGACCCTTTACTCCACAAAAAGCTCCAGAGGCTCGATTTCAGGTTCAGGATTCACACCAATATTATGAAATAAGCATGTTATGTATCACATGTCAACCATGTGTTGAATGTATCTCTCATTACATGTCTGTATATTTTATCTCAGAAGGACCTCAGGGCTTCACTGATTTTATTAAAGGAAAAGCTGGAGAAGTTTACAAAAGTTAAGCAAGAGTTTGAGGAAACAGCCAAACACATCAAGGTATGGAGATTTATTCTGAGAAAGTAAAAGTTCACTGTGGAAATTACCTTCAGGTTTACACAGCATTTCTCACTTTCAGAGTCAGTCCCAGCAAACCGAGAAGAGGATAAAGGAGGAATTTGAGAAACTCCATCAGTTCCTGAGAGAGGAAGAGGAGGCCAGACTGTCTGTACTGAGAGAGGAAGAGGTGCAGAAGAGCAAGAGGATGAAGGATGAGATAGAAAACATCTCCCAACAGGTCTCCACCCTGTCAGAGAAGATCAGAGATATTGAGAAG